GAGTAATAAAATCAAAATCAAAATTCTTATTTACACCGTATACATTTTTTTTACAGTCAACATCTTAAATTAATTTTTATTGTATTCAACATCCTTTACTATTTAACACATGTGAAAAACCCTACATTAAACCAAGAAGTCATGTGACTCGCACGTGCTAGTTACCTTTCATTTCTTTTTTGCTTACATGGTATTACTTTGATGAGGTGGCAACAGTTTATTCTCACGTGACACTTTTTTTTTGCCTTTTCTTTAATGACATGGCTAATGGGTTCCACTCAGAGCTAAACAATTTTTTTATTTCCTATCTCTCTTTAGTCCACATCCACATTGCCAAATTTTTAATTTCACATAGCAATGAACAAATTCAAACTAAATTTGAAATTTACAAACTCAAATCACGAACAACTGATGATAATTATAGATACCCATGATATATAATCATAATCCCTGAGCCAGAGATCTCATCCCTACACCATCGCTGCAGCCCAAAATTCGCCGTCTTCAATTCTTCTTATCATTAAAATAAAAGGCAAGCTTTTCTTCATCTTATTTGACTCCATCCATTAAATTGATTGAATGTCTAGATGACCAAACAATTAAAAAGGCGATTGTATCTCAGTTCTCTAATTTGAAAAAGTTAAAAAGCAAAACAAGAAAAAAGGCAAGGAATGCCACAAATTTGTGGTATTTTGTTTTGCTAGAAAAATTCAGGTATAGATCTTTCAAATCTAATGTTGAGTCCCGATACCAAAACTGTGACCCGAGTGCTCAGAATTTAAGTATAGATCTTTTTTATCTGTAGATCTTTTGGATTTGCAAGGCTTACGATGAGCTTTATTGTTGGAAAAACTAGATTTTTCTCAAAAAGATTGTCCCCAATTTCCTCTTTAGCTACTATGTTTTTTTCAATGCATCAACCTGCTGGAATTGCCAAGTTAGGTAGGAGGCCTGAATCTCTATCGTCCTAGATGGGTCTCAAGAAATTCACTTATTCTCTTATCAAAAATTTTGGTAGGGTTCACGAGAAGAAGGTGAAAGGGGAAGACCTGAGAAGATTGAAAGGGGAAGATTCTTGAAGAAGCTAAACCCTAAATCTTCAAAAAATAAAAAAGATGATTCTTGAAGAAGCCAAACCTTAAATCTCCAAAAAAGGGACACGCTGTGTAGGTCTTAAAGTATGATATTTGTTTTTGTTTTTTTTTTTTTTTTTTTTTTTTTTTTTGAGATGTGAAGAAATGTAGAAAAGGTCCCGCTAGTAAGTGATCCTAGTGCACATGTGGTGTTTATGTGTCAAAAAAAATTGCCACCTGATTTAAAAACACTCCACCTATTGTCTGTATCATTGTTTGGATATCACGTATTGTACTGATTAATATTGTCTACGATTTTTAACATTGATGTGATTGGCACGTGATTTGCCGCTATAATATTGGTTTTTTTTTTTCTTTTATAGATTTTTGAAGAGTAGAGAATGTTGATCAGGACGAAAATTAGTTTAAAGTGTTAACCGTAAAATGATAAAATGTATAGGATGCAAATAAGAGTTTTAACCTAAAATAAATTTATAAATTATCTTTAAAATTTTAATTTAAAAAAAGTTAAAAAAATTGATAGTTATTTTGTTGCAAAAAAAAGTATAACATGGAGACACAACTTACTCCCTTTATCTTAAATTAATTGTTATTTTTATTTTTATTTTTTAAAATTTAGGGTTTAAAAATAATATTTATATTTATTTATAATATCTTTAAAGAAAATAAAAAGATAGGAAAGTTTTTGTAACTAGATGATTAATTAAATTGAATAAGCAATGATAGAGTTAAATAAGAAAAAAAATTGTTTATTTAAAAAAATAAAAAAATAATTAATTTAAAATAATTTTAAAATTAAAAAATAACAATTATTTTGGACAAAAAAGAGTATTAAAGAATGAGAATGGAGCGTTAAAAGTTGAAAACACACAAATTGACCAAGTTTTGCGATCCCAGGCAAGGGAGATTGATCAACTTAAACATGATTTCAACAAATTGAAGCAAAATGCTGCCATATGGTCTCGGTTTGGTTGATAATGTTACTTGAAAACGGGTTTTATTTATTTATTATTTTATTTTATGACAGAATATTTTGGACAAGTAAATTTTTTAGGATTAATTTTTAGCATCAAATTATAGAATGAATTTAGCACAACCATTTTTGACTTGTGAGCCTTACACAAATTCACACAATTAACTATTGAAATAATTTGGTACTTTATTAACTATTATATATATTCACTGAAATATCAATCTAATACATTACACTTATATATAATATTTAAAAGTAAAAAAATAAATAAATATGATATATAAATAAATTTCTATTATATATATATAAGACAATTCTCACTCATCTCTCAACCCGTTCCATTCATATAGCATGAAACTTGAATGTATGACATTTTATTTCTAATAAAAAAAATTAATATTAAATTATTTAAATAGTTAACTTATGAACTGCTATATTAATTATGCACTACTGGTCGAAAATCAATGGTAATTATTCAAAATGTGTGTTGAAAGTCCCATGTATCAATAATATGCGCCATTTTCCAATTGAGGAAAATCATAATTTCATTGGATCACAAATGACTGGGATTCGGTACTTGCAGTATTGGAGAATGGAGATGACTATAGCAGCATAGCTGTATAATAATTACCAAAAGAACAAAACCGAAGAAACGAAAAACACTATAGCATTCTACTTCAAACATCAAGCAAATGCAGCAATTGCAGAAATTTTATTTTTCCCCAGCAAACATAGGCGAGCCTTGAAATTAACAAAACAGATCAAATAAACATGAAAAACAAGCATCACCTATGAATTTTACAAGGATGCCCACCGTTATTGCCACCATCACCACCGGGTACGTTAGTGCGATTAGATGGCCGAGAAGGCGAGCCAGGACCTCTTGCATGCGAGACCTCTGAGCCATCACTTGGCCTAATTTGCCCTTGTAGCAGTCTACTCCTACTCCCATTCAAGACTCGGCTGGTTATCATCAAGAGGATCAAAAGCACCACTTTCCCCTTCATTCTTATGGTTCTTCTCTCAACTTTCATTTTTGTCAACTCCATTGAAACCTTGGTGCCTGGCTAACTTCTTCTAGCTATATATATATATATATAGCTAGAAGAAGTTTAAATTAACTCAGATTTGTGATGGTCGCAAGGTTAGACTCGCGATGCTGGGTTGAGCTTGAGAATCAATTAATTTCTATTCGCGCGACAATTTAGTCCATGCCGGTTCTGACAGCTAGAGACTGGCACAAAGTTGGGTACCATTAGTGTCACGCAATCTTTTGTTGCTTTTTATTTTTTATTCTTTTAATCTTTCATTATACATAAAAAGTAACTTTATTATTTCTAATTTATTTTATTAGTATGTTATATTATTTGAATTTAAAATTTTTTATTTTTAATTACTTTTAAGCAAATAAAATTATCACTGAGTTATTTAAATAATTAATCATAATTTTTTATTAAAACTACACAAAATACTTTTTTAAATTGTTAAGAACAATTGATAAATGAACTTTAAGAGGTGATTTAATAGTTAAGAGTTTAAAATTTCAAATTAAAAGTTGAAAGTTCAAACCTTAAATCAAATGGAAAGGGATTTAAAAAAAAAAATTATTCTTTCTTGTATAACTTATCATGATCAAAGGTACTAAAAAAAAGAACAATTGATAAATGTAATAATTAATTGATAGAAAAATTAATATTTATTATTTAAAAAGATAATATTCATTTATAAACTAATGTTTTTAAATATTATAACTATTTTTTTAAATTACTCTATGTATTTATTTTTAATAAATCTAGTTTGATTTCTTAACTTTTAAGACATGAATTTTAAATAAAAATTTAACAATTTATATGAAAAACAATTACAAAGTTTTTTCCTTTTATGTGAAGTTCTTGTTGAGTTTCCTATTTGATTAAAAAAATTTTCAATTATCATTTACATAACATATTAAATTTTTATTTAAAATTTATATCTAAAAAATAAAAAACTAAAGCATATTTACTAAAAATTAATAAAAAGAGTATAAACTAATCAAATCAAATACACGTATTATCTATTTATATGGCTACAATGGAAGGGAAGAAATTAAAAAAGAAAAAAGAAAAAAAAGAAGACTATCTCTCCATATAGAGTGTATCCCACAAAGTTGCTTCATCCTTCTCTTTTTCGTTTAGCCCCATACGTGTCATGCCATATGAATTGTCATACGCTTCGTTCTTCTCTTTTTATCTTAAGTGATCCACTGAAACTTTTCTTGATTGGGTAAAGTGTTTGTTATTTTTTTATTGCAAAATGAAAACTGGGGACATAACCCCAAACTTTTTCCATTTTTGTGCCCAAAATAAGAAAAATCATGTGGGTGAATTGTGTGGCGTGACAACCTAACCCGTTCAACCACGGCCCACCATGATTGTGTAGCGTGACAGCCGAACCTGTTCAATTACGGCCCGCAATTACCTGACCTGAGTTTCGGTCTCGCCACGTCGCTGGTTGTTTTGGGCTTTTTGGCCCTTAACACCATCAGCACAAGTGTACAACAGTGCCCATTCTTTTATTTTTACTTTCTTTTCCTTTTTTTGCCAAACTTAATTAAGGTTGAGGAGTTCAATTCTCCTATATGTCAGTTTTTAGGGTTTTTCTGATTTTGAATATTGTGTTTAAGGGGTTAAATCTGAACTATCTACGTTGTATTATCTTTATATTGTACGGATTCGACATAAAAATAAAAAAAAAGAAAAGAAAAAAAAGAAGCCAATTTAGGGTTTGTTAATATTATTTTTTCTGCCTTCTACTAATTTAGCTCTCCTCTGTTAAGGTTTTTGTTAGACCCAAAAGTAGTCTAATGATACTTAACATGTGACGAAAATTCACAAGTTCAGTTGTCATGAACGACAAATTTCTTTTAAAGGATTAACTTGAAGATCATATAATATAAAGACAATTAATAATTCTCTAATAGAGGATACTAATTAGAAGTTAAGCAAAATATCAACTATAATGAAGTTAACTGTTATCGAGTATCTCTATTAATTATCTCTCACTCACTTTCTCGTAAAACTATTATACAATGCCCGCAGGCTATTAACACTGACTAGAGACCCCTTCGAGCCCTCCCCCACAATAGTATGCAGTTCTAAAAATAAAAAAATAAAAAAGCATAGATGCAACCCTTGTATCACTTTCTCAGCTCAGCTTATTTCAGTAATTAATAAAAAAAAGATTTACATAATTAATATTTCAGTCTTTTTAAAAAATTTGAGAGTGCCTCTTGAGTCTTGAGCTGTATAGTCTATCATCTCGCAACCTGATAGTGCCTTGTGACGAATTGCTTAAGTGGCAGTTGTGGAACGCTGAGCTGGCAAGATATCGAAGTTAGCTAGCTAGTCAATTAGATAACAACAGAATAGCATCAGAATTGTAACCAAAGCAAGGTATGTAATTCATTCTGGGTGTAATTGTACAGAGGTTGTGAAATGATACAATCTTCCTATTTTCTCTCTTTCTGACTTCTCTTGATCCCCTTCTTCTTTTACTCTCTCTCTAAATTCTAATTCTATCACAACCAAAGCAAAAAATTACTGGATCCTGTTTGCTAAGACCATAGTTTGCCGACACACACGAAGCCTTTTAAGACACAGATTCGATCCAGCGATGGTTTGTTGGTCTCTAGCGATCAATAGAGGAGACTGATTGCTCATGAGAGGGCGAGAGTCCATTTCTGAGTTGAATTAAATTTTATACCCTCCTCTTCTTTATCCAGCATATCGCTGCTTGCATTGCTAAGCCTTCTCTAGATTTTCCTCCAATCAAATTGAAACCCGTATTACGTTTTAGCCTATTGTGAGATTGTATAATCTAATTTTGACTTGTGTTCTATTATTAATATGATTTTGTTGATGGCGAATATAATTGTTTTTAATTCTTAAAAAGCTTATATTTATAATAAATCCAACATAACGTGCATTCCACAACAATCCAAGTCATTTAATAGAAAACAAAAAGGAAAAATAAAACAGCTAACAAGGCCAAGTGATTTTCACATTACAGAACGTCAAGAACTCCTTTTTACAGAGCAGGGAACACGTGAAAGTCCAAACTTATTCAGGGGAAAAAAAAAGGAAAAAAAAAAGGGAAATACTTTATTAACCAAACATGGCTGGACAGCTCTTGCCCATCCAATAACCACTTAAACGCAACAGCAACTCTCCTTTAAAGCTAGCTCATTTGTGCTGGCTCTGCATCCCTATATGGTCACTGAAACACACATAAAAACAGAGAAATCAAATTTATGTCAACAGTCTGCTTAAAAAATGGCCAAATGCTCGTTTTTACTTTCTTAAATTCGAGGAATGGGTAATGGAATTCATTTTAGTAATTGTACTAGGAGCATAAATTGTGTCCAACAGTAATGATTTGGCCTTGAGTTCATCCTTCCTCATTACCTGTTTCGTCCATGATTTAAGCGCAGTAGCTCTTGTTTTATCAAATTGTTCTGTCTTCGCTCTTTTAACACAGCCAATTTAGATAGTCAATTTCCTGGGGTGTCAATTATCTTCTTGCTCTTTTTATTTTTTTATTTTTTGTGAGTTAATTTAAGTGAAAATTAAATTATAAGAAAAAAAAGGGGGAAGGGGTGGGATTGAGACCAACCGGAGCGCCTGAGTGAGGGCGGTGGCAGTGGGGAAATCATTATTTTGTCGTGCTTTTAGAATTTGAAACATGAGAGTAAGGCGGTCACGGGAAATGGCACTCTTCTGCGTGATGAGTTTAGTCTCCTGGTGTAGCTTCTGGCATTCAGATTCTATTGCCTTAAATTTTTCCTTAACTTGCCTTTGTCCCTCTCTAATGCTTTTCTGTTCCTCACTTATTTCTCTCATTTCTGCTTGTAACTGTCTCATGCTGGATTTCATTTTCTTCGTCTCTTTTGTATTCTATACCAAAATTTATAAAAGACTTTAGACCATATTTGAGGATCATTCTGTTATATAACAAGCAGAAAAAGAATGGTAAATTCTATATTTACCTGATGCTTCAGTTGTTGTGAATAAGATGCCTTGGCTAATACTGTTGAATGCTGTAACTTGAACGGGGCCATATTTTGTCGCTGGCTTGAGAGGTTTTTTTTTTTGGGGGGGGGTGGAGAGGAAGGAGAATTGCCAGCTGAAGTTATATATGCAAAAGCAGGCCTGCAACTAAATAGATAGAGCTCCCGTTCTCTGTCCTCGTCCTCCTCCATTATTTCGTGGGGTCAACTTGTCAAAAAAAGCCAACTATATCTAATGAATATTGGACAGCGGCGAGAGATCGCGAGGTTTAGTCGACAGACGCAAGCCTACCAACAGATCGAACGTTATATTTGGCGTTAGAGGTCGGAGGCGAGCGTTTAGATTCGATTAAATTAAATTGGACGGATTCGTCTCTCAAGAAAAGAATCGGGTTTCGGCATAAAAAAAGACAAAAGATAAGCATCGGGTACCCATTACAGACTATTGATTTACACGCCAGCGTGCGTTTTCACTGTCGGGGAAATGTACTATTTTCAACTTTAAAAAATTTATTTTATTATTTGAATT